AATATTTAAAACTTAAGATTTTATAGATTTCTTAAAAATATATGATTTTTGATGAGAAGTGACTTGGAGCACCATAGTAAATATGTTTTTATTGTTAGTTTTATTATAAACTAATACTAATATATCAATAGGTGTGACATGTCCTCTGACTGATAGCTTATTTAAAAATGTATCTTAGGACTTGAATATACATATAAAGGAATAAATAAAAGTTTTCAGTTAACAAAAATAGGCAATCCATATATTTAATAGTGCGGAACGAAGTTTTATATTGCCTAGTTGTTTTAATTAAAATCTTATCGGCCACTTGGTCAAAAACGACGTGTATTATTTTTTTCATAGTGGGTCGGTTACTAATCTTGATTTTTATATTGGATTCGTATAATGTTGTGAGAACGGAATTTAAGTGAAATTTGAAATTCTTAAGATCTTAGTTTTAAGCTTAAATTCTACAAATCTGTTTCCTCTTACAACATCTACACCGAATTTTATAACAAAATTTAAAGTTCGGTGTAGGCGGAGTTTGTTTAATTTATCTAGGATGGGAATTGAGAAGTTGACAATATCTATCTTAAGGCATAGATTTTTTCGAAATTAGAGAAAGATGACAATATAATTTAGAAAATTTCTTAACAAACACTAGTGTATGGAAACACGGGTATAATTTGTAACTCCGTGTAACACAAAATTAAAGAAACAAAACTTGGTTTGATTAATGTTAGATTAAGGTTAGGGTTTAAGGTTTGGGTTAGGATATAGTTTATACTAAATTTCACGGAGATTTTTTTTGTTAGAACCTCAAAGGAAAATTATAGGCATCTCCCACGTGAAAAAACTTTTTTAAAGTTCGTTTAGGTTAGGATGAAGGTCTATGTAGGGTAAAACGCGAAGTTTTTAATAGTAAAACCGATCAAGGAAAAGTTTTTGTTAATACTCAAAAGGTGATTTCTTATGCAAGTTTTTGAGAAAACGATGATTTTTTACAAAACGAACGTTTGTTTTGAATTTTCTTGATCGTGTTACGTAATTTGCTATTGGCCAATTTTGTGTCGATCATCACGTGGAATGATTTTGATTGGCAAATTTAGCGGGAGATACATCTCTCGCGAGAGATGCCTAACAACACCTAACCTCAAAGGCTGTTTAATTAGTAAAATTTAAGTTACATACATACCCGTGTTTCATACACTAGTGTACGAATAGAAATCGTCTATAATTTATATAATTATTTTTGAAAGTTTATTAAATCATTAAATTCCTATATGTAAACAGATAACTTAAAAACATTATACAAAATATTCTTAGAAAAGAGATAAAAAGTATGTGATATACAATCATATAGTCCACAGAGAAAAAGTATAGCAATCGCAAAAAGACTATTTGAGTGTCGATAAAAGAAAACCGAAAATTTAAATATAAGTCATATTTAAATTTTCGGGTTTTCTTTTAGCGACACTCATTTTATATATTGTGGTAACCCTATTTAAATAAAAGGAATATAAGCTGCGATATGAAATTGCAAAGTTTATATATTCTTATCCGTTTACCGTTAATTAAGCAAATTTTATTTTAAAGTAAATAAAAAAAACATTTAAAAAATTATAATCATTTAAAAAAAAAGTAAAAAAATAAAAAATATAAATAAATTAAATTACGAAATAAAACTTATTGGACGTGAGTATATCCACAAGCAGAAAAACTACTCTGATATAAAATAGCAACTTTAATGCCGTATGATGAAGGCAAACCTCCTAAATCATATGTCTTGTCAAAATCAAACACTTTAGTTGGACACTCAATTGTTGCGCAAATGTCTGTGAAATTGGAGAATACGCCATCAGTTTCACCGAACATTTCAAGATTGAATAAAGTGCCATTAACAATATCATCATTGGTCTTTGCTGAAACTTTAACCTCGAGTTGAGAATTCGATTTTGGAGGATCAGGATTAAGCGTTACATTAGTGATTATTAGAATATCATGAAATCCTGGACATCTCCCAAATGAAGCCTGCCTTTTAACCAGTTGAGATGGAAAAGCATTGACCATAGAAAGTGCGGCCAAAAAAACGAATAACAAGACAAAATTTCGGATCATGGTTATTATTTGTTTTTATAAATGATAAGCTAATAAAAAATTTTTGTTCTATAAGAATTTTGAGTTTAAATATTGGATATTACTTTTTTTTTGTTTTTAACCAGAGTAAAGTGAAATTATTGCCTTATTATAAAAAAAAAAACAGCACTTAATTTTCATTAATTCGTTTTATTTTGGCAATTCATAAAAAAAAAATCAAAATATTCAGAAAAGTTTCTAAAAACGTTGTATGAAACATGAGGTTACACGATTTCTCCGACAATCACTTCTTGAAAAACAATTTTCTAATAATTCAAACCAAACATTATTGCGGTTTGCAAAATTATGTGGAATTTGATCATTAAAAAAAAGTAATCACTAATTTCTGATTAGGCCAGACCAATTTAATTCGGTGGTTTACATTACCCCCCCTCTCTATCTTAGTAAAAAAAATTTTGGGATATATATATATATGATTTTGGCCGGAGAGCATAATGTCGGGCGGAATTAAGACTGGGATCCGAAAAATGAACGAACATAAAAGGCGAGCAAGGTCAGGCCGAAAATTTCCGATTTAAAAAAATTTTATTAAAATTTACT